TGGTTTTTTTGCTTTTTGTTGCACACAGCTCCATGCGTTGTCGCTCTGGGCGGGCTCGCTCTATAGCGCAGTCGCATCTGTGATACCTGTTTCTGTCATTTACATTTTAAAAGTAATATTCTGCCATACGTTGTTTAAATTTAAACAGATTGCATGAGCGTAGTTCCATCCTGCCATGGAAAAAAAAAATAAAAAGAGAAAAAAGTTTCCCTGCCAAAATATTTGGAACTCCTAAAACGTATATGAACAATACTCAGTGTTAGTGTTTTCTGTGCTTGAAGTACAGAAGCAGACGTTCACCACGAATAACTTGTATTTGCGTGAGTAGACTCACTGAAAGACTCCTCACGTAACGAGGGGGCTCAGGTGAATAAAGTCTGTAATGTAATACCAGACACAGGTTGTTAAGCCTGACTGCTTCTCGTAAAGCACCTGTAGGGCTGACGTACCTGGGAAACCTTTGGTTGCAAAAGAAACTGCTAACATATGTCATTGTCATTATTTTGGAAAGCAGTACTACCAAAGGCAAAGTGTTCTTTTAAATTTTATTTTAATTTTGATCTGTGTCAGGCTTTTAAGTTAAAGCTTGTATAACAGTTAATTGGTGGAAGTTATATATATTTTTAAACCCAATATTGCATAAAAGCTAAAGATCTGGCGGGATTTGTTGATGAAAGAACAAATTCAACCTCAACCTTTTTATTTCACATTCCAATTGTGAATTGTGATTTTTTTTTTAATAGGAAGAGAGAAAGTGGATGAAATCTATAATTGGTTAACTAGTTTAGTGGTGGGAGATGTTGAAGAAATTTGAGTCTTTTAATATTCAGTCATGGGACTTGTCATTCAGTGCTTATGCTAAAAGTTTACACATATGCTTATAGCATCAGAAGATTATAGTTCCACAGACTAGCAAAGACACTGATAATGGTACATTTGAACATCATTTTGGAAGGATAGTTTGCAATTATGTAGATAAAAGAGTTAAGCTGGGATCATGACTCTCAGTCCTTAAGAATGGCATAGCTGTAATATTCAAGCTTTTCAGGCTCTCCAAATAGTTCTAATGTGTTTTTGCAGAAGTACAAAGTCAGTGAAACCACTTTACACCTGTCGAGAGACAGCTGAAGAGTTTAGTGGCTGGAATTAGTCCAGCAGTATTACACAACACCAACAAACATAAATCTTCTATTTAGCCACTTACTTTCCAACCCAGATTTTTTTTTTTTTTTCATTTTTGTGGCGTCATAAGGGGAAAAACAAGTTTTGGCTTATGTTTGCAATCCATAAGTAACAGAACTGTCACTCTAATCTGTCCCCCGCTTACAATTTTTGAGGGTTTTTTGGATCCTATTCTAACATTAGTGACAATGCTGTCTCCAGAGGTGTTTCTTCAGTACTCTTCTGTGAACTAGAATTAGAACCTTCCACTGGGAGTCACTGATGGAGCAATCTGCCCTTGAAGTTTTGGGAATGGCTTTTTAACAGTTAATGTTTTTTATTTTTGACTCAGGCATTTCAGCTTGTCCTTAAGCTATGCTAGCAAATCAAGTATGACTTTTTTTACATTGGGCTGTTCTGTCAAAGATAACTTACAAACTGTTTGTAAGTTGTAAAAGACCATATTATACCATGAAAGATCTGGAAGATAGCAGAAGGCTTTGCTGCCAAGCACTGCAAGAGGAAGACGAACGAACTAGTGATGCAAGAAAAATTCACCGTTTGAATAAATGTGAAAATAATTTTCAGGCTCAGCTCCTTCACGGTTCTGGTATAAGCCATCCAAATTGTGGAAATTTCTCAGAATATTGCATCTTCTTTGTCAGTGAAGATAGAACCATTAAGACCAGTGAGTTCTGCCACTGATACGTGTAGAAATTGACATACGCAACACATCAAGTTAGTATTACCAGGAGTCTGTGTGTAAATCTCAGTCAGTGAAGGAGTAAATCCTGTGGTATACTACCAGTTTAAAGACTAAAGAAGGGTTCTAAATACTGAAACTATAAATCTACCCTGAAAAAGAGCATTTAGTTGGAAGTTTCTTCATGGTATTCTGCTGCCTGTTTGCGCCATCAGAGAGCGTGTGTGCTCTAGAGACTGTTCCTAGTATATCTGCATTGTGATCTTCCTGGATTCCTGAAAAGCCAGTAAGAACAGTAAGGACCACAACAAAAACTTTCTGGAGTTGTCAGCTCCTGTTTGCAGTTAAATAAACAAGACCAGCTCTTTAACAAAACAGCTTCCTAAATAGAAATAAGCGTCTGGTCCCAAATTTGAGACAAACGGAGAATGGGTATGGAAGTCTTGACCTGAAAACATATGGAAATCTTGGCCTGAAAACAATATTATCGTTGTAAAATTCTGATGTATGTGTTTATCTGAAACAAGACCAGTAACTTGTTTTGTTTCGAAATAAACTATATTGTGCACTTCGTTTTAGATAAACACATGTCCGGAAATTGACCCATGAGAGGTCCTCTGTATTTCTCCAGCAAGAAAAACAGTGAAAAGTAACACAATGTTCTTTTTGGATTTCTTATGCAATGTACAGGAAAATTTTCCAGTGCAGAAAGAAGTGCCAGGAAGTTAAACACTGCATGAAATCACAGAAAACAACAGTGGGCCATTAGGTTATTGGCTGCAAATGAAGAACTGGTTTAGCCAGTTTGAGTTAGTTCTGTGTTAGCAGTCAGTGGAGACTTACGTAGCTGTCCTCCTTTCTCTCGTGAGCTCTTTTCCATAAAATTTTAGTTACCTGTTGTTAAGATAAAGACTCGTCTAAATTGCAGCTCCAACGCAACAGGTTTCTTGTTAAAAACCACCCAAGAATCTTCACAAGAGATGTGGAGGGAAAAGAAACTGAAAACCAAGGACAGGAGCAGATAAAATAGAGCAGCAGCTAAAAATTCAGTGCATCTGAAAATTGCCAGAAACACAGCAATGAGTGGACAAAATTCAGGAAGCCCTGACAAGGAAAATGAGGAAAGGAGTAGTCAGGATTCTGAGATACAGAAGTTTAGCAGCATGCAGTTACCTGAGTAAGGACAAGGCAATTAGTTATGAGATTGTATTACTAAGTTTGAGGAATAACGTAGTGTTTGAGGGAGAAAAACCCACTTCCAAAAGGTATCAATTTTATATGACAGATTTAAAATATGAAGAAATTTATGAAGCATTCTTAACAATTTTCAGGCTGTTGAGCTAGCTTGGAAGAGCTGATAGAATCTATAATTCAGCCTCAAATTTTAATGGTGATCAGAGAGTAAAAAATGGGGAAAAAGTCTGGCAGAAGAATCCTAAAGTTCACTTTAAAGATGATTGTTTTTGAATTTGCTAGGCTTCATAAATTAAATTTATCAGTAATTTATCGGACTGCAGTCTTGGGAAAGAAAACAGAAAAGAAAATCTGCTGAAATATGCAGGGGCAAAGCAAAGTAAAATTTACAAGGAGGAGATGATATGATGCAAGCAGTTACGTTGTAGGGAAGAGCTAGGCATGCACTTAATGGAAGTAAATAAACAAATGCAGTGACCAGTTGGTATGTACAAGAGCAAAAACCATCTTAACAAAGCCAGCAAACAGGGACAGTACAAACCTAAAGGAAACAATGTACAGCACCTTGTGCGATGAAGAGTATTTCAAGGGTAACTTTCAAGACCTCCCGGCTGCCCGTGTTCTCCCATGACTCCTGGGACATGGAGGCTCTTCAGAGAGCTTGCCAGACCAGGGCTTCTGTGGCCACCAAGACAGGAACAAGGGAGAAATCTCTCAGCAGAACCCTTGTTGCACAGTCCCACTCTCCGTGTACAAGTGGTGGAGATCCCCTTTGTGCCCCAGAAGATGGTGTTGGCATTAGTTTCTGAATGGGACCGTGTGGATGCTATTATGCTTGTGTGGTACCTAGGGTGGCCCACTCACCTCATTCCCCACTGTTTGCCTTGAGAGCTGAGGACTGCTGACTGGATCCCTTTTAAGCTGGGAAGTGCTACAACAGGTGAACGTGAAACCTAATGTCACGTTAAAGGGTTTGGTGAAAAAAAAAAACCAAAAAGAATTGCGGGATGAAAGTATGTAATTGCTTGGTTACATCACTGGAAAATAATTTCTGCTTTGTGGATAGGTGAATTGGATGTGGAGGTAAAGCCTGATCTTGAAAAGAGAAAGTAAACAACTATTTTTTGACAAAGGGTACCTATTCCAGGCCTCAGGAAGAGTATATAAACTGTGGAACAAGTTCCA